GTTATATGCCAAATTGTATGTATATGTATCCATGTATGTTTTATGACTATGGATATCGAATGCATAATCAGTCCTTATTGTGTTTGCATTGGATTGTTGTGTTTGTATTAGAATGTTAAGAAACGGATATGCATATTTATGTAAATGGTGTTTCTTCATCCATTGTTTGAACATGTATTCAAAATAGTGATTTTTCCACAAGTTGTCACATTGCTTCATAAAGTTGCATCAAATGATGATCGTGTAGATTATGCCTTTCATTGAAAATGTGAATTTATTGAGCTCGCTCATGTCGATAGCAATTATTTCACTTGGGCTTTGGACATTGAAATATATTTGGCATCTAAGGAATTGAGCCAAACTTTTGTTGCTAAGTCACAGAGCACCGATGCCCTGAAGGCACAAGCTCTCATTTTCATACGTCACTACCTGAACCACGATCTTAAAAATGAGTATTTGATTGAAAAAGTTCCTTTTGCGTTGTGGAAGTCCCTGAAGGACCATTTTGACTAGTAGTCATCTATTGTCCTTCCTCAGACACAATTTGACTAGCTTAATCTTAAGTAGTTTTAAGATTATAAGTCAGTAATTTACTATAATTCAGCTCTGCATAAAATAGCCTCACAATTAAAACTATGGAAACAAGTAGTTTCAAGAGAAATATTTAATTGGAAAGATATTGCCAACTTTTCATGTGAGTAATTTGTATTCCAGCAGTAGTACAAGACAACAAATTATGAGAAGCATCCTAAGCTGATTTTAGCACTCCTTGTGGCTAAGAAAGATAACTAGTTGTTGATGAAGAATCAAAATGCATGTCTGGTTGATTTTACACAGGTGCCTGAAACACATAATGTTACCTAGTTGAGTAACTTTATAAGGGGTTGCAGTCGAGATTATAACCGTGTGGTATGAGTTTCGAGCTCAGAATAAGAAACAAAGTGATCAAGATATTCAAGGACGACCAAACTCATCGAGGCAAATTCTAGCCAGAAGCAGGTTTGCTATCAATGTGCGTGTGAAGGGCATTGATCCCTATGTGCCGCACACCAAAGAATTTGGTCATCGGAGAATGAACCTCATCTTGATGATTCTAGCTAAGTTGCCTGAAGCAAATATTGCGATAAATTATGATAATAATCTTTTGACTAAATTTAAGATGTCAAAATGTCGAATCCCTCTCTGAGTATGGCTTAGTGCAATTCTGCAATTTGCCCAAAGAAAACGAGAGAATAAATTATATCATATCAATTTGCCTGAAGCAAACGAGGGAATGAATTATTTCATATCAGTTTGCCCGAAGCAAATGAGGGAGTGGATTATATCATGTGAATTTGCACGAAGCAATTCCCAAACCAGTGAGTGAACTAATGTAAAGTTGAGGATAAGGATTTTTGAGAGATCTTGAAGATCTATTTTATTTGACAAGCTTCACAGCTTTCCTATGATTGTTGTGTACCCTTGTAATGTCATTTGATATGTATGCTTTCATATCTGATTATATATTTTCTTGTTGGGGACATCAGTTTTATATGCTATTGTGGTTATCACAATCTGACCTACTGCATATCATAATTATTCCCCCTAGAACCTAGTACGTGGTATAAAACCAAACATTTCCCATCTGCGTTTTATTCACAGTGTGCAGTCTTTTTCCTATATCACCACCATAGCGTACCTTTGTGAGCATGTATATGTTGATTATAAACCTCCGTCTGTTATTTAAATTCTTAGAGCCCATGATAAGGGATCGATATATAATTAGGTACGCTGACTGCACACTTTATGAAGATCATTTCACCGCATTAGGGGGAGATAAGAGCTCAAATTTAATAGAATGCCGAGAAATTCTATGGATGATTGATGAAAAAGATCTTCAACATTTAAATCCACGTTCTAGGTAAACTGAACTAGAAGTTCAGAAGAAGTAAACTGAACTAGAAGTTCAGAAGATAATTAATATGCCAATATATATATTGATCATAAAAAGAGTGACTAGGTCCTATATATCTTCCCCAACTTGGACCATATGTATCTACCAATGCTCCTTGACGCCAGAAGCGTGGAGACATGTTGGTATAATCCGTGGAAAGCTAAATCTAGTAGAAAATGGTGTCACTCTTGAAATTGATTAAAGAAGTATGTCCTGAAGGCATTTGTCCAGAAGGTGAAAATCCCCAGCAAATTTATAGGTGCACCCAAAATCATAATACTGGGATGCGGAACGACCAGATAAAAATATATTTGGGAAATGTCTAGAGTCTGGTTGAATTAGAAATTGCCATTATTTTATATATATGAGAGAAATTTATGAAAAATGTTATAGTTGTCGACAACAGAATTGCCTTTACAAATTGCCCTCGTTATATGAGAATCTGGATCCAGAGCTAGGCACCAGTTGTGCCTTGGTATTTTTTTTATGTATAAAGGAGCAATTAAGGCATATACAACTCAACTCGCTAAAACTGTATTCTCTTTATAACATGTACACCATTTAATGTTAACCCTAAAGGTTACAAATGTGTGTTTGTACAAAAGAGAAATACAAATAATCTGGTGGTATGATATAAAGCGAGACTGGTAGCTTAAGGGTTTACGCAGAGACCCTAAATTGATTTTGATCAAATGTTCTCTCCCATAACAGATGACATTACGTTCCGCTAATTAACATTATTGGCTGTGAATTATGAATTTAGATATGCAGTTGATGAACTTCATGACCATAAACTTATGGTCATTAGACGCTAATATTTATTTATAAATCCCTGATAGATTCAACACTTTTTTAGGAAAGTGAAAATCGCAACGTGTATCATTAAACTACTAAAGTCTTTGTATAACTTGAATATTATTGACTGAGTGTTTTCCTCCCGAAGAAGGAATATGCAAATAATATGTACCATTATGTGTTCGTTAACGAATTGCTAATGGAGTTATTTATTTATCATCGCAGTCGATATTGATGGTTTAAACATTATTGAAACACATAGAGAGCTTGGTGATATTAGCTCATGCTGAAAGACGGAGTTTTAAAATAAAAGACTTGGGAAACCCAAGTATTGTATCGACCTGAAGATCGAGCTTCTCCTTGAAGAAGTTTTATATACCAGTTAGCCTACTTGAAAAATATCTTGAAGATGTTTTATATGGATAAGTATTATTTACTTATCAAACCAATGATTGTCCAATAATCTCTTGACGTAGCACTACAAGAAAAATGCACATAGACAACGGTTATTAACCGTTGTCGTAGGGGTATACTTTCTGTTGTTGAAGCCGGTGTTGTTGTAGGTCATGCGCATAGACAACGGTTTTTTAACCGTTGTCTTTTCTACCAACGACAACGGTTTTTTAACCGTTGTCTATTAAGTGTTGTTGAAGCCGGTGTTGTTGTAGGTCATGCGCATAGACAACGGTTATTAACCGTTGTCTTTTCTACCAACGACAACGGTTTTTTAACCGTTGTCTATTAAGTGTTGTTGAAGCCGGTGTTGTTGTAGGTCCTGCGCATAGACAACGGTTAATAACCGTTGTCTTTTCTACCAACGACAACGGTTTTTTAACCGTTGTCTATTTAGTGTTGTTGAAACCGGTGTTGTTAAAAGTCACGCAATAGACAACGGTTATTAACCGTTGTCTTTTCTACCAACGACAACGGTTTTTTAACCGTTGTCTATTTAGTGTTGTTGAAACCGGTGTTGTTAAAAGTCACGCAATAGACAACGGTTATTAACCGTTGTCTTTTCTACCAACGACAACGGTTTTTTAACCGTTGTCTATTAAGTGTTGTTGAAACCGGTGTTGTTAAAAGTCACGCAATAGACAACGGTTTTTAACCGTTGTCTTTTCTACCAACGACAACGGTTTTTTAACCGTTGTCTATTAAGCGTTGTTGAAACCAGTGTTGTTAAAAATCACGTACATAGACAACGGTTTTTAACTGTTGTCTTTTCTTTAAAAGACAACAGTTATAAAACGTTGTCTATTGGGTGTTGTTGAAACACCCATAAACTGTTGTCTTTTGTAGAAAAGTCAACGGTTTCTAACTGTTGTCTATTGTAAAATAGACAACGGTTTTTAACTGTTTTTCACCTGCTTAAATTATAATCATATAAAAAAACAATTTATCCATTCACCATATGTTGCAAAGCGTAGTTACATAATTGTTCACAAGCTAATAAGGTTCAAAATAACAAGTCAAAAGACTTCCATGACCAATTCTAATTATCATCCAAGTCATAATACTACTACACAAAAAACAATTCCACGAACCAATTCAAGTCCAAATGATCACAACGTTCTAATGACCAAATCATACCTACTCTATATGACTTGATAGAATATCGGCCCATTCAGAACGCACCAGATCAATAACCGCTTTGTCATAATCAACTTGTTGAAACTACATGTAAACAATAAGAAAATAAATTAGTATAGATATAAATAATTTGCAATGAAATGCAAAATAAGTTAGGAGTAATTCGGAAAGCTCTCCAATCTGGAAGGTTATAGTACAGAAAAGCTAGACAAGAAACACTAAAATGGCAACTTGCTAGACAGGAAACGCTAAAATGGCATACTAGAGTCTATTCAAGTAGAGTAAAATCAATGCATTGACAATACTTTCCTAATATGAATACAAATGCTCCCAATTGGCAACTACCATGTGGGATGGATGGCATTTATCAATCTACCAGTCATGTTTTGCCTACTTTCTAGTTTTCTCTTCCTCAAGGCCCAAACAAAACAAAACACATCCTCTATATAATGCCACTGCAACCAAGAACTTGACAATCTGGATTGATGAGAATCCTAATTAGCTCTTTAACTGTATGCAAATACTATCAAGTCAAATATGCTCTATACCAAAGTTGGTTGACTTGTTTCTATATTCTGCCATATTTCCATGAAAAAGATCAAATCTTTGTAATTGAGTATTTATAAGCCGGCAGGATTTTGGCACTTAACACCAAACCACAAAGATTAAGCACACTTTAATTAATCATCAAGATTTCCTTTATCTACCCCGGCCCATGAAAATCAATCAATTTCAGTGATGGAGCTGAACACCAGAGAAGAATTACAATTTAGAGAAGTACGTGCAGAGGATTGAACCAAAGAAAAGGAAATCAAATTTTTGTGCAGCTTTAAAAAATAGAGTATGAATCAAATTTTCAGCAATCTAACATTAATCTATCATAATATATACAATCTAATTCTATCTAAAACACATAATAAACATTTAAATTTTTTTTTAAAATAATTATCTTTTTCATTAGTTTCAACAGAAGATTCTATTTACCCAAAAAACATTTATATAATTGAAAACATGATTCACATACATAAGTTTAGACATGCAAAGCACATGGTAAGAAACTCCATAGTAAAAGATTGAGTTTGAAGGATAAATACTGTAAGCATTTTAGAACCATGTAACTTTAAAAATAATTGCAGAAGAATCATATGACTACATGAGCTTCCTAACCTCCCGGCACAAAAGTAAATTAAGCGAGGCACAGTAAGCTTTTCCTAGTGAGCCAAGCAAGCCTACTGAACTTTCCAACTCATTATTTCTTAATGCGAATATATTCATTAAACATTCAACAAAAATTGTAACTGTAATCATAATAATGATGCATTTCATAAGGAACTCTATTCAGCAGAGCCCAAGCTTGAACATATCAGTATACAAAATAAAAAAATATCAACAGGGAAGAAAGAGAGGTTGAACAAGCTAAGATAAACCAAAGCAAGTGTACAAGTGTACAAGTGTATAAGGATTGTAATACTCCATATCATCTATCCAAAAAGTGACTCCGGAATGTATATGAATAGAATAAATAACCAAATGGGAGGAAATACCTGCTCAATGAGATCTAAACATGCTTGGTTGTCTTGAAATTCAACTTTTCTCCAGTCAATTCTATCCAACTCATATTCCTGTAATCAAACCAACAAGTAATGATACCATTATAATGTGTTCATTTTAAAAAAGATCCAGTAAACTTATGGTAAAAAAGCTCCAGTTTGTGAATGAAGAAAACTATACTAATATCATATCAAAAAATAATAATAAACCCAGACTTAAAATTGGAATAAATTCCTAGATCATACTTCTAGGTGAATCCAACAATCACACTACAACTTAGCGTGTAAAAGTTAATGTTTATTGCATATGTCCAGCTTCACCTAACAGCTTTTGTTCTGTTTACAGACATTAATAGAGGCATCAAAAGATGAAAAAGAACTAGCAATGCAAAACCATAAATGTCTAGAATATTTATGGATCTACCAGTATGTTGCTTTCCCATTGCAAGCGATGTATTTATCCTATCTACAACCCAGTCAAACAAACTTGCATATACAAATTTCGCCAATGCATCTCTTGTATCAATTGCCTAAATGAAGTTAACACACATTATGTTATGGTGAATAAGATCATAATAAATTAGTTCCACTCATATCATCGTAGATATAGATGCACTTCTCAACATTCATGTTATTTGATGGTGCAACTGTCTAAGAAATGTAATTTAGTAAAATTAATCAGACAACAACTTAACATACCTGCTTGTAACCAGCTACCTCGCACAGCCTCAACATAACCACAATGTGTTGTAGAAACCTGCTTTATTCTCAATAATTTCAAATGATCCATATAGATTAACCATTCTATATCGAGATGAGTTCAATCCTTGCCTCTAAATGCCAGGACCTAAGAAGCATGAACCCTAAAACTAAAGCAGATAGAATAGCTTGAATACATTTCCCTATATGCAAAAACAGATGGAATTTGAACTTACCAACTTACCACAATATACGAAATACACAGTAGGTTCCATTCCAGTATAGACTCACTTAGCAGCCTAGCTCCTCTCTCATAAACTAACCTATAATCCACAACTAACCTAGGGTTTAAAAACATTTATAGCTTTCAAATTTGGAAATTCAACGATACAATTCAGAAATTAGGGATTTGGGTAAAAAAAATTGAGGACAAACCCGTCGGAGCTTAACGGCGGGAGAGGAGGCCGGGAAGAGGCATGCCGGCGGTAGAGGAGGCCGGGAAGTGGCGACAGCAGCAGAGGAGGGAAGAGGTGACGCCGGAGGAGATTGGAGCGACGGCGGTGGCTGGCCGGGGAGGGAGAAACGACGTCGGCTGGCCAGGAGGGAAGATGCGATGTTGCTTGGTTGGTTCGTCGGCGTGCGAGGCAGAGGTTTACGCAGAGGCCAGGGAGGGAGAAATGCTGAAGTTTTTTAAATTTTCACTAAGTGTGAGCTGTGTACTGGGAGGGAACAAAAATTTTTGTTTGAGAGGGAAATAAAAAAAAAATTCGCTAAGTGTACTGTGAGGTTTTTTTTATTTATTTAGTTTTTTTTTTTGGAGGAAACATATACTATATACTATGTACTAATATAATTAGGAAAATAACGAAATTTTATTTTAATTTTATAATAAACTTTCGTTTTTTTTTCAAATTAAATAAGTATATTCATGGTTTTATAGGGACCGGGTCCACCTAAACGGGGTATATAAGTATAGAACGGGGTAAGAAAATATTAACTTTATAATTTTATTATCCGGGGCGCTAGACCCAAAATAGTACCGGGTATATAGGTACAGAACGCGAGGTAAGAAAATAGTAACTTTATTACTCGGGGTGTACCGCGTATATTGGTGCAGAACGGGAAGTAAGAAAATAATAGTTTTATTACCTTAGATGTTGCACTTAAATACATAAGTGTTGGTGTCACTTGGTGGGTTTAGCTTAGTTTGTTATGTTAGATTGTGTTAGAAGTATTGGGTTCTATTCTTCTTAGAGGCATCCTTAACTTATTTTATAAAATCGTTGTCTTGGTTTTCACAGACAACATAGAAGCAACCCAGTTATATATCAGTTGTTGCACTTTGACACATAAGAGTTTGTGTTGCTTAGTTGGTTAAACTTTAATCATTATGTTTGAGGTTAAAGGTTTGACTCTTGTTGTTAACATCCTTGTTTTTATTTTATAAAATAATCAAAGACAACGGTTTTTTATAACCGTTGTCTTTGTAGTGTTGTGTATTCTTTTTTTTTTTTGACGATTAGTGTTGTGTATTCAAATACGCTTAAAGACAACATACCAAAGACAACGGTTAAATAAAGCCGTTGTCTTAAACAAATAAAGAACGCGCAACGACAACGGTTATATAAAACCGTTGTCGTTGTAGTGTTGTGTATTCAAGTGCTATTAAAGACAACACATAAATGACAACGGTTAAATAAAACTGTTGTCTTTTATAAAATAATAATGCGCAAAGACAACGGTTTTAAGCAACCGTTGTCTTTGTAGTGTTGTGTATTCTAGTGCGCTTAAAGACAACACACCAACGACAACGGTTAAATAAAACCGTTGTCTTTTTTTTTTTTAAAAGAGTGCACAAAGACAACGGTTTTAAACAACCGTTGTCTTTCTAGTGTTGTGTATTCTAGTGCGCTTAAAGACAACACGCCAACGACAACGGTTAAAAAAACCGTTGTCTTTAAAAAAAAAAAAACGCACATAGACAACGGTTTTAAAAAACTGTTGTCGTTGTGGTGTTGTCTTTTTACAAAATGCACAAAGACAACACACTTATAACAACGGTTAAGTAAAAACCGTTGTCTTTGACAAAAGTGTTGCATCAAAGACAACGGTTTTGGACCAAACTGTTGTCTTTTATACAAAAGACAACACTTTTCTTAAAAACTGTTGTCTTTCTAGTGTTGTCTATGTGCATTTTTCTTGTAGTGTAGATAAAGGACCATTTAGACTCGAAGTTGATAATGAGGATATTTTAGGACTGGAAGTCCATTACTTCATTCCTATTGGAGCACTATTATTGAACTAGAAGTTCCATAATCGCATCAGGCCTGATATTGAATTTGCGATGAAATTACTAGCAACATTTAGTGTTCCCCCTACAATGAAAATTGGAATGGTATTTAACATATCCTCAAGCACCTTCGAGGTACAAAGTTTTTGACGTTTATGTGAGAAACTCATATGTGGTTTTGATGGGCTACTTGGGCACTGGTTCTTTTATTTGATCCCTATGATGCCAAGTCCAAAACTGGTTATGTTATATTTTTACCCCCAATGTCCCATATGAGGACAAATAAGATTGTGTTGCACAAGCAAGTAATAGTTTTGTTAAGGGGAACCTTACAAAACATGTTGCACCTAAGTCTTTCTACACACATGAACTCTAGAAGAGTTGTAAAATTCTTGCTGAGAATGTTTGCCCCACGGAACAATCTTGCAGATATGTTCACTAAGTCTCTGCCTGCATCCATTTTTGAGTAATATGTTTATAAAATTGGGATGCGTAAGCTAAGAAGATTGTTATCTTCAGGGGGAGCGACAACCCCTAGCTGTGCTAGAATGGACAATCTAGAGGACTTTTGATATCCTGAAGATTATGCTACGAAAGCATATGGTTGTACTCTTTTTCCCTTATCTAAGTTTTCCCCACAGGGTTTTCTTAAGCTAAGGTTTTTAATGAGGCAACCGATGTTGGTGCACTTGAGTGGATAGTCCTGAAGACTCTTGAAATCTTGAAGATTATGCCCAGAAGGCTTATATTTGTACTCTTTTCCTTGCTAAGTTTTTTCCCATTGAGTTTTCTTAGGCTAAGGTTTTTAATGAGGCAACCGGTGCAACACATGGATCAACATACTTCGTGTACTCTTTTCCTCGTCTAGGTTTTTCCCACTGAATTTTTCTAGCGAGGTTTTTAACGAGGCATGAGTATAGTTATTTAATGGCCAAGGGGAAGTGTTATAAATATTTTATTATTATGGCCATTAAACTTGTGACCTTTTGTTAGCCTTTACTTATGTTAAAGGATGTGAAAGGTTGTAATCATCCCTATAAATTGAGGGTGAAGGCTTAATGAAAAGATGGTCTCATGTGATTGTGTTCTATACATTGTGTTCTTCCTCTCCCTTTTACTTATCTATTCTATATACTTATATACATACAATCTCCGAGCATTACCGTGCAAACATCACGCGAGAACCAACGAGTTGATAGGCCGAATTACAACAGCAATATTGATAGTTAATTAATTATATATATAGGATTGTCACCTTAGTATTAAGCTAAACTCGGTATTAATTCTATATTGTTTATATAATATGAGTGTGAGTCTTAAAAGAATTGCACCTGGATGTTGAGAATCTCAATTACTCCAGCCCTACACACAATAACAAAGTCACCTTACGGTCGCTTGTAAGTAGTGTTAGAAAGTTAGTTATTTTTGGCATGTAAAATGACTATTTTCAGGCATAGTACTTCCAATTGGAGTCGGATCAAAGTACGTGGTTTCGGGTTCTCTAAAGTGAGTTCTTTAATTCGATATATAATACATTCAAAATTAATAATGGGTGGATGATAAATTGATTCTCAAATATGTACCCATTTGAGCTGTAAAAAATACAGTTGGGAAGGCTTTGAAGAAGCCTATGTTCTACATTAGGAAAAAAATCCAAGAAACAGAGCAGGAGTGGAGCAAAAACACATTGATAGGAGGAATTGAAGCAACCTTTCTAATATTTCTAATGTGCGATTAAGTTCCATACAAAATTAGCTGCTCGCTCAGCTAGTCAGCTACTAATATATTACTTCAAGGTAACCAACCATTTTTATTAGAAAATGAGCTGAGCTGAGCTATCATTTGATTCATTCAATAACTATTTCTGGTAACGTTCCTCCGAAGTTGGATCCATGGTGACTACTTTTTCCACAGCATTCACTCCTAAAACTCTTGCAACAACCCCCAATCTCCAGCTTTTTTAGTCCCTTAAGATGATGATCATGTTCATCATGCTCATGTTGATGATGATGATGTTCATCATGCTCATGTTGGTGATGATGATGTTCATCATGCTCATCATGTTGATGATGATGATGTTCATCATGCTCATCATGTTGATGATGATGATGATGTTCATCATGCTCATGTTGATGATGATGGTGATGATGATGATGATGATGATGTTCCTCATGCTCATGTTGATGATGATGATGATGTTCCTCATGCTCATGTTGATGATAGTTTGAATGATTTGAGCAGTCATGATGACCATGGTCCTTACCTGATTCTATATCTTGAGTGCCCATGGAAAAGCTTGCCTTACCCAACTCCATTTGTGGGTGGGAATTATCATGAGAATGACAGCCCTTCTTGCCGGTAGATTCTGGGCACTGTGACTGATGATCTGTATGGGAGGATTTGCAGTGTTGGTGGGTATGTTGTGAAACAGAAGAACAAGATTTAGTACTACTACTACTACAACATTTGTGTCCATGTTTATGTGTGTGTGAATGCGGTGTTCTTCGTCCTCGGAGAAGGAGCAAGCTGTTGAAGATGACAATCAAGCAAGACCCAACATCGGCAAAAACTGCAGCCCAAACGAAGGGGTGGCCTGAAATGGCCAGTGCCAGAATAGCGGCTTTGATTGTGATTGAAACAATCACATTCTCAATGATTTTCCTTCGAACCCTTCTGGCAAGTTTGATGGCTTTTGGTATCCTTTGAAGGTCATTGGATGTGAGGATAACATGGCCTGTTTCCATGGCAAGGGCTGAGCCAGAGACCCCCATTGACAGCCCAACATCTGCTGTGGCTAATGCAGGAGCATCATTCAGACCGTCCCCTGTCATGGCTGTTATTGCCCCTTCCTTTTTAAATTCTTTGATCAACTTTGCCTTGTCCTCTGGAAGAAGTTCTGCATGAAATGACTCCAAAGCACCACCTAACTGGTAGAATCATTTTTAGCTTTCATTAATACACATGCATGTTCAAAGGTGTTCATGTTTTTATTATAAATATTGTTCAGATTTTGGGATGGGAAAACACAAAAGTTGTTGGGTGGATCGGAGGCCCGTGAAGGGCCGGTCAAGATCAGCACTAGGTGGCTTGAGAATTGTTGGGACTTGGGAGGAAGCCGGTGAAGGGTCAAAGTTCAGCACCAGGCGGCTAGGGGACTGTTAGACAGAGGACTGAAGGGTCACGTCCAACACTAGATGACTAGGGGATTGGTGGGCGGAAGCTGGTGAAGGGCCAAGTCCAGCACCAGGTAACTAAGGCCTAGGAGATTATTGGGTGGAACAAGTGGAAGGGGATTGGTGGGCGGAAGCTGGTGAAGGGCCAAGTCCAGCACCAGGTAACTAAGGCCTAGGAGATTATTGGGTGGAACAAGTGGAAGGGGATTGGTGGGCGGAAGCTGGTGAAGGGCCAAGTCCAGCACCAGGTAACTAAGGCCTAGGAGATTGTTGGGTGGAGCAAGTGGAAGGGGATTGGTGGGCGGAAGCTAGTAAAGGGCCAAGTTCAGCACCAGGTGACTAGGGGATTGTTGGGCAGAAGCTTGAAGAGTCAAGTCCAGCACTAGATAACTAGGGGATTGTTGGCGGAAATTGGTGAAGGGCAAAGTCCAACACCAAATGGCTAGGGGAGGTTTCCGGAGGCCTGAAGGGCCAAGTCCAGATTGCGCCTTCGCTACTAGTTATAGCTTTTGGCGTAGTGATAATGCGCTTAACTTGATCCTAACAAGTGATATTAGAGCAAGTCACGAGTATTGTTGGGTGGAAGCCAATTCCAACACCTGCCTCTCAAAAATGTGGTCATAACATTTTCCATAGTGATAAGCGCGGGATCCTAACACAAACAATCTCTCTAAGTGAAAGGGAAATACAAGATATAGTTTACCTGATCTTGTACATGGACAGCAGCTGCATAGCAGTCTCCAGTAAGCATTACGGTTTTGATGCCCATTAACTTCAGCTCTCCCAGTGCTTCCTTTGCCCCTGTTCGGCAAACATCAGCTAAACTAAAGATCCCAGCTGGAGATGATCCCAAAAAGATGTAGCTAATGGATTTCCCTTCATAGCCATCACCATCTAACTCTGGAACTGATGGAGCTCAATGATGAAGATAGTATTAATCAAATATGTTATGCTAATAATAATAATAATAATATAATGTTTTTGTTTGCAGCTAGCTAGAATGAAAATTAAGGTTAAGTTTCTTAATTTTCACCTGTAGTGCATTGTGCTCTTGAAGAGATTTTCTTGTTTCCTATAAATATCTCCATCCCATCTATTCTTCCATATATTCCTTCTCCAGGAAAATTCTGAAACTGCTCCACCCTCTCAGGCTTGGGTGTAACTGAATGTAAATATGCATAATCAGTTAGAGCAGTAGCCATTGGATGGCTGGACTTACCCTCAATGCTGGATACCCTGAAAAAGCATTGGAGACATTAGTTTCTGCAAATTATTGTTAATAAATTACAATTACTCAGTATATATATTTGTACATTTATATAGCACAAGTGGAGTGGGATCAGGTGCGGACAAGGCTTCAGGTGCGAATATTGTACCAATTCAATACACTGTCAAGTAATTATCAATGCATCGTACAACATTTCCAAATGCACCGTGCACTACTTGATTCTCATTGATTGTCAACTCTGATGCATTTGGAAATGCTTGATGGTGCATTTCAGGAATGCTTGGCCTGATTCCCATCGACAGTCAATTCTAGTGCATTTGCACAGCATTTCCAAATGCACCGTGCACTACCTGATTCTCATTGATTGTCAACTCTGATGCATTTGAAAATGTTTGATGGTGCATTTCAGGAATGCTTGGCCTGATTCCCATTGACAGTCAATTCTAGTGCATTTAAAAATGTTCCGACGCTCCATATCAAAAGTTGACAATTAGCTAGTGTCGGTGCATTTATACTTTCTTGATTGTGCATCCACAGGTTCACACCAGAATCCAACCCTAGCACAACTAGTGCACGCTTACACAAGTTCGCAGAGTATTGTGGTCAAATATAGAGAGTAGTGTATTGTGGTCAATACAGTGGACCATAATCGCTATGGGTGACGTTGAGATTTGAACCCATGACCTTTGATATAGCTTTAAGGAATAAGGGTCAAATAGGCCATTGAACTGCACACAATAATGTAATTAGGCCACTGAACCTTAAAAAACAACAATTAGACCACTAAACTAACAAATTTCATTCAATTAGTCTAATTTACAGGTTTTATAGGTTAGTAACAGGTCACCCAAAAAATTTAAAATTTTTTTAAAAAATTATTATTTAGAAAAAATAAATTAAAAAAAAAAACGTTTCCTCGCTCTGCCGGAGACGGTTAAACTTTTTTTTTTTTATATTATTTTTAAATAATAATTTACAAAATATATTTTAAAACTTGGGTGACCTGTTACTAACTTGTAAAACCTGTAAATTGGCTTAATTGCATGAAAATAGTTAGTTTAGGGACCCAATTGTTGTTTTTTTAAGTTCAGTGGCCTAAATGCATTATTGTGTGCAATTCGATGGCCTATTTGACCCTTATTCCTAGCTTTAATACCAAATGGAAGCATGTGCTCCATCTCAACTAAAAACATAAGCTAATAGTTAGATTGCACATTAATGACTATATATATATAAAATTTGAAAGGTAAGTTAAAGTAAAGTTGTAGTAGTGTGACAGACTAACCAGTAGAGTAGTCTATTGTGGTCAACATGATGGAGAAAAGTGTTGAATTGGGTGACTGAAAATTGTCCCCTTGTGAGGGTCCCTGTTTTGTCAAAAGCCATGATCCTTACTTTAGCAAGAGTTTCCAGGTAGTCTGTGCCTTTAAACAGAAGGCCAGATGTGGCTGCCTTTGAAAGCGCACAAAACATGGCAACAGGTGTGGATAGCACAAGTGCACATGGACATGCACTCACCAAGGCAACCAAAGCCAAGTGGTACCATTCATTTCTATTGTGGAGTTTGAGTGCAGAAGGAAGTATTGCTAAAGCAATACAAATAGCCACAACCGCTGCATATATGCATCATATATATAACAAGTTAGCATGGAAGAAAGTAAAATATTAGCTTTAGAATATCCTATTCAAATGTATGTAATGTTGAACAACTGGTTCATCTTGCATTGTGTACGCTGGTCAAAAAATTGTGTCTGCAGTTGACAAGTTATGTACGTACTTGCAGTTACCAATTTATGTGTCTGACTGTATGTAACTAAATTGAATCCACATAACGTGCTAATTACAGACATAACTACAGACACGGTTACATATTATGTATCTGTAGTTACTATATTATGTGTCAGTAGTTAACATGTTATGTGTCTTCTTTATTTACAGATATAGAAACTGTTAATTGCAGGTACAGAACATGTCAACCGCAGTCACGTAATCTGAAAATTATTTTAGACCAGTCAGGGTCTACAATGTAGGGCAGATCCTGATCCTAAACATAACATACCTGGTGTGTAATACTTGGCTATCTGATCTATGTATCTTTGGGTTTTAGATTTATTGGTCTGTGCTTCTTCTACGAGCTTTGCCATTCTAGCCACCACACAATCTTTAGCCACGGCCGTAGTCTTGATGCTAATGTACCCTGATCACATCCAAGATGGAATACAATAGAAATTGATTAACTTCAAAATTAAACTTTTTACTAAAATTAAAGAGTGAAAGAAGAAAATGTACCATTGAGATTTATTGTGGCAGCCCAAACTGTAGAGTGTTTTTGCTTTGTAACAGGAAATGATTCCCCAGTGAGTGTTTTCTCATCCACTTCGCATTCCCCATCCACAACAACTCCATCAATGGGTATTACTTCACCAGCCTTAACTGCAACAATGCTGTTCAACTTCACTTCATTAGCATTCACTTCTTCCCCACTTTCAGCTAGCAATGCCTTTTGAGGGACTACATTCACCAGTGATGACATTACATCCTTCGCCTATACATACATATTAATTGCATCATCATCATCATGAATTATCGAAGATTACGGGTTTAGGGTACGATGGGTTATTGTCAGGAATTCAGGATCAAACGTTTACCACTACGCCAAAAGCTATAGCTAGTAGTAAAAGCGCAACTTTATTTCCTTATACCGCCACACATTTTCGAGAGGCAGGGTGCTGGGCTTGGCCCTTTATCAGCCTCCGTCCAACAATCTGCCTAGTCACGAGGTGTTAGACTTGGCCTTTTCCGACCTCCGCCCAACAGTTATCTATATTACAAGTTAATTTCCTTCCTTGACATACACAAATTAATTAAAGTTGAAATTAACCTGGTGAGTGGCAGTGGACTGGAGCCATTCAGAAATGGTGAACAAGAACACAATCGTCGCAGCTTCCCAGTAATCACGTAGAATAAGTGATCCTACAACTGGATGGATGATTTTTAAAACATACAACATATCAGATTTTTAATTTGTCACACCCTACTATACATTTGTTACGTTAATTCCAAACAAGTAACATGTACAGATCAGATGGATGAAATACTAAGCTAAGAGACTATAAAGTTTGATAGAACTTAATTTTTTTAAACACATTTACAACTATTTTGACTCAAGAATCCAACTGCCAAAGTTCTATATATATAAGTCAGGGTTCATATAAGAACACCTTTCTTGTAAAAAAATATGGACACATCAACACCCTTCATCTTGAGAAATCAAAGTTTAATAAGATCTTAATCTTATCATTATTAAACTTTCAAGTTTGCAATAATTATAAAATGAACCTCACTCTTAAAAAATTTCAATAAATATAAAATTGACTCTGTATTCTTTTAACACTATAGAGTACAAGTAAAAATACATAGTGCATCTGTTGATAATCTAAAAAACTAAATCCAAAGTTAAACAAAAAAAAAAAAAATTAAATAGTAAAAAGTGAACTCTTAAGTCAAATAGAAAAAAACTAATTCATAAAAACTTAAAAAAGTAAACTCTAAGTAGTGCAATTAACTTTCATATTTTGTGCAATTAATGATAACGTTAGGTATACTATATATCACATTCATACCCTCCAACAAATAGTTTAAATTGTTATTTACAAAAGTCACAAATAACATGTTCTCGTACTTGCAACATTAAATAGAACTTGAAAATTTTGTACTTAAATACAAATAACTTTCTTTAAAGTCAATGACTCAAGCTCTTTTAATTGTTTTGGAAATAGGCCTAACACTGAGTGACAATTCAGAAAATGATTGAAAAACTTTATTAACCATAAACATCTAATTGCACATAGGATATTTGTCAATTAATAGACTTAATTATCCTTTCAAACAACAAGACAATTACAACGTGACATATAAGATAATAATTTTATTTATATTGATCAATAATAAATATAATATCACTAAGAGTCAATACTATCCCACTAAGACTGAAACTTATGATCTTCTATTTAGAAGAGTCATTCCATGTCACTAGATCACAAGATCATTGGCGTACATATACATTTTAATGTATTTAATTTGAAAATGACTAACTTTTGAAAAAGTTAGAAAAAGTAAAGAAGCACAATTGGGTAAGTTGCTATATGACTTCACACTCCAAATTAAAGAGAATTGGGAGGGTTGAGGTGGGTCATATATGACTCATCGTAATGCCTTTTTCTTTTCCTTCAATTCACCAAAGAATTAAAGGCAGCCACTTTCAAAAGAATGTGTTCAATCATTTACGTACAAAATATATAAAAAGACCGACCAATAGGAAATTAATGTTATTGAAAATTTACAAAGTGTTCTATGTTAAGCTATCTGGTATGGCATATATGTATGTCAGATTAGTATGTGAGTATTAGGAAACATCTTTGCTTTAATTAGGTAACAAAATAATTGCTATTTTCCAAAGTGATATGTGACAAAGCAAATCAGGCAAGATCAATGTTTAGGGTAATGCTACTTGCAAGTTGCAATAAATATTTTGTATTAAATATTGTGTTATCTTATCTATAATCTAATTAATTTATAATAAAGATCATTTTTAATAGGAAATGCTTCCCACCTCTACAATTATCACTCTTAAATTAAAAAATTAAAAAATATTTATTTACTTAGATTATTACTAGTCAATTGATGGACTCCAATCCCCAGCCACTTTGAATTAATAAAGAATCTACATATATAATAAAAAAAAAAAAAAAAAGACACATCAAGAAGTGACAATTATTTTTGCCAAGAACTTTGTGATTTGATGACATCATTGAAGTCCTTCAAACGAAAGGTCACAGGTTCGAGTCTTATCCCAAAGTTTACTAGTACGGTACACAACATTTTTCCTTTGAGCACATGTCTATAAGTTCAAAACATGTAATTTAATATGATCACTACTAGAATGCTGAAACTTTTTTGCCCTAAGGAGCTGAGGCTTGATAGACCTGCTTCATTTTCAATTTTGCTTTTATAGCCATATTTATTGCAGCATAACAAGTATTGGTTCATTTTTATTACTATACTAGTATTTTTTATGCGCGATGCGCAAAAAATAGGTGCCCAATATTAATACATTATATTAAAATTTTAAATTTATTTAGATTTTAGATATTTAAATTATTCTAAATAATAATAATAATGTAAATCATTTTTATAAATTTGATATTTATATTTATGTAATAATTAACATATAACTCAAATATTTAATGTGTATATATTATTATTAATGAAGAAGATAAGAAAATATATGGTGGATGCATGTGCATGGTAACAACAGTGGAAAAGATAACAGAAGTTATAACGGTAGGGGTATGTTTGTCCAAAATATTTTAATGTACAACCTTTAGAGCATAATGTACAAAAAAACTTAACAGAAAAAACGGACATAAATCAGGGGTATAACTTTCATTCACACTTATTATGTTTTTAGATTATTATTATTTTAATTATATCAATTAGTTATAAAAAAAAAAAAAGGGAAGGAAAATAGTTAGTTTTTTTTCTAAAACTCAACTATATATATACTCCATATATTTTAATAAATAACAACACCGAGGTGAGATTAGAGGCACCTTCATACCAAAGTCTTTCCAATAACCGAGTCTACATTATTATATTGCCCTAGTATAGTTTCTATTTCCCAACGAAGCAATAGTCTAATAAATAATAAAATCACCACATTACACATACATACTCTCTAGAAGTGCATTCTTTTTTACTTATCAGTATTAATATTCGAAATTTTTTATCTGATCGCAAGTCTAAAGTAAGCACATTCAATTTTAAAATTGAGAAAAAAAAAAAAAAAAAAAAAAAAAAGGTGATTGGTACCTGCAATTAGCATGAGAATGTTGATATCAATATTGAGATTGCGAAGTGAGGCTAAAGCCTTTAGAGTGATTGGAATTGCACCCACCACAGCAGAGACAACAGCAAGCCATTGTAGTGGCTCATAAATGTACTTTAGGAAGGAGAAAAGCAGTAAAATTCCACAGCAAATGGCAAAGGGGCTTGGCCACTTTATCCTCTGTTGCTTCCCACCATTCACTCTTACACTTGCCTCCAACCTTGCTTTGTTTAATGCCCTCACTGCATGCATATACAAACTAACAATTTATATCTCTTCTATTAATAATCAGGCCCGATCCTATCATTTTATATGCCCGAAATATGGCATTAAAAATTGGCACTACCTCTGAAGTTAACATATAAGTTCATACCTAAAATTTAAATTACATAAGAAAATAAAAAATACTAATATAAAGTAACTAGAAGCAAGATTCACAAATTTTTAACAATTTTAGATACATAATAATAATTATGAAAAAAAAAAATCTAGGTGCTTTTCTAAATGCAAAATAATAAATAACTGCAAATACATTCATAAATAAATAATTATAGTTTGTAAAATAAATAAACGATTTAAAATCAATAAACTTACAAACAATGGTATCATAATAAATAATAAATTAATTATTAAAACAATTTAAAACTTACAAAAATATGGAGATCTAAAAATCTTTTTGATTGGAGACAAAAAAAAAAAGATTCAAAACACGATAAATATATTAATAACAAAACATAGAATATAATTAATTGGATAAAATAATAGTTTAAATAGAAAACATATAATAAATTGTACATCTTCTATGATTTTATTTTCTAAAATGTAAGGAGAAACTTTATATAAAAGTGTCATCAAGAAGAATTGACCATTGACCATTTAACCTCTGACATACTAAATACATGGTCTACCAACTAAGCTATTTTAATTTCACTTAAATTTTATGTACATTCTTTACTTATACATTTATGTACTCTATATATATAGGGAGGGGGGAGAAAGGTGGATCCCCTCCAAGCATTGGCCCAGGGCCCAATCTGTCCTTGCCCCATGCCAACTCTGTATATAATTTATATCTCCTAAATTATGCGCGAAGTGATGATTTTAGTCTTCAGGGACTATTTCTGTCATCAATATCTCACTTAATAATGTGACTGATTTAGTCCTTTTGAGACTAAAATTGACACTTTGCGCATTACTTAGAGGTTAAAGATGGCTACATATATAATTAAGAGGTTAAGTCTGTAACATAGGCATTACTGAATGACCAAAAATATAGTTTTCAGAAAGAAAATTTTACTCTATTAAACAGATTGAAACATTTAATTATGATTTGCCTCCCCACCCATTAATAGCCTAAAAGTGGAAAATAATATTTGATTATATTTTAATATTTGCATAGATTTTTAAAAATATTTTTATTGGAGATAATGGGTAGAGTGAAGGATTTTTACATTCACATGACATTCCTGAGTTGGAGACTAGATTTTGTTGCTTGTTACTATCTAACAGTAACGTAACACAATATATTAGAGTGAAATTAAAGTAACAAGTATATAAAATCTACTGTCATAATCATTTGAACTATTTTTGGAAAATTCTTGTTTCACCTTATTATTATGATATATTTATTCATACCAAATCATTTGTTATAATTAATATATTTTGTAAATATGCATTTGTAACAATAATAATTAATATAATAATAATAATAATAATAATAATAATAATAATAATAATAATAATATCTTGTTGTTGTTGTAGCATCCCGTATGATGGGTTTATTTGATCAATTTGTTATAAATTTGTCAACTCATAGGTAATTAACGTATACGGAAGGATCTTAAAAAAAAAAAAAAAAAAAAAAACCCGTATACGAAAGGTTATATGGAAAACACGTTGCACTTTTCAAAAGTTAATACAAGATGCACAAAAAATTTCGCACGTAAATTTTTTCCTTTTTCAGGAATAAGAGAAACTCATAGCCTCTATTTGAAAGTGTGTATTGAGTGTAAATATTGTATTTTTTTTTGTGATCCTAACTCATAAAGAACTACAATGAGATAAATCAGCATAGATTGTCTATAGCTGACTGGCTCAAATCAAGAAAGTTCATAGGTAACTCACACATAATTTTTACTCTCTAATATAACTTTAGAGTTAATTACTGAAATAGTCTCTTGAGTATAATGAAATTACCAATTTGGTTATTGATTATTTTTTTTTGACCAATTAAGTCCTTACACTTTAAAATTTTTTAACCAATTTGGTCCTATGCTTGTTTTGACGTTAGACATCGGTTAACTCGAGACCAAATTGGTAATTTCGCTATAATCAATGGACCATTTTAGTAATTAACTTTTCGGAGAAAATGGTGTATGTGATGACCGAAATGGTCACTTGACTATAGAAAAATTACAAATTTGATCTCGAGTTAACATATGCCTAACGACAAAAACCAACATAGGATCAAATTAGTTAAGATTTTTAAAGTTGAAAGACTTAATTGGTCAAAAAAATAGTCAATCACTAAATTGATAATTTCATTATAGTCAATGGACCATTTCGGTAATTAACCCTATAACTTTATTTGATTAACTTGTGATAAAGATTGACAAATTCACATAAGAAGAATATTTGTGTAAATAGACTTTTCTTTTGTAATAAGCTATGGATAAAAAATACAATGGAGTCAAATATGTGAGCAAAATAGGTAATAATGACAATGTAATATAGGAAAAAAATAATTGATTAAAAAAAGGGAGAAGCTTTCAACGTAACGGAATTTCATAACAACGCACCAAGGGCATGATTAATTTAAAAAAAAAAAAAAGTAAATAATTAGTATGGCACCAAAATTGCTTTCAAGCCAGATATATATACATTATATACTCATGTTGTTGGGTCACAAATCATCAATCACTAATAATATGTACCCGCCAAGAACATGTGGATCATGTTATCCCCATAAAAAAAGCTACTTTTTAGCTACGTTAGAAATGCACAATAACAACTTTTATTTTTATAAAAATAACCTTTTATATATATATAAAAAAATTATTACTCGATTGTTACAATTTTCATTTTTAAAACCAATTAAATTATATCAATGATTATTGAAAATAGACCACCTTTAGTTGTATAGATGACTAAAAATATTTCATTTTTAATAGTTTAGAATTTTGATTCTTTAACTAAAAATATGTGAAAACAAAATTAATAAGGGTGTACCCAAGGTTTCCACCGTCGGTCACAGTAACTAATTTCCTCGCTAAATTATAGACATTTCTTTTGGGTGAAACAGCTAACCTAGAGATTTAAGGTTACTACATACACAAAGCCAATGATCGAACCTTAAAAAATAATTTATACCTAACTAGAAGATTTTATCCTCGAAGATTTTGCTATTTTGTAATCTAAATATTATAAAATAAGATATGATAAAATTAAAATTATATTAATTAGGTAGATGCAATCTCGTAGGAAAAGGGGAAAAGAAAAAGGAAAAGAAAAAGAAAAAGAAAAAGAATCAAAGCTAAGTATCAAAATGGAATTCACGATATGATATTGTTGTTTTATAAAGTTTAGATCATATCATTGATGAATTGTGCCTAAATTCTTTTTTTTTTTTTTTTTGGTAGGGATTGTGCCTAAATTCTAGCTTCATTCCAAAGCTCCTTTCCCTTGCAAATTGCAAAAAAAAAAAAAAAAAAAAAAAAAAAAAAAAAAAAAAAAAAAAAAAAAAAAAACCTTTATTCGACCAACCTAACTAGGATTAATCTACTTGAAGGACAATATAAATTTCGTATTCAAGTAATTCATCTTAAATTTTCTTGTTTGATAAAACAACCCTGAAAACGATTCATCGCTAATATTTTAATTTTTTTAAATATAATTTTAATTAAAGGAGGAAAAGTTTAATGAGAACAATATATCACCCTTATACTTATTATTCTAATTTAATCGTTACTATTTTAATCACTCGGATCTCACTATTTTTTTTTTCTTTCTTTTTTTAAAGGAGCCTTGCAATATTGCATGTTATAAGCTTATGCCAAACGTACACGGAAGTAAACAAAATAACTAAAAACGTAATAAAAATTGAAACTGTATAAAATAAATAAGATTTAATTCCATTTTTGTCCTAGATTTATAGGTGACAGTCAACTTTTAGTCATTTAAAACATCCACTTTCGATCCTAGTATTATTGTGGCATGATTATTTTTGGTCCTTCATTAACAAAACAGTTTAAATTTCGTCAAATACAAGAACATTTCAGTCTTCAATTTTAATTTTTTCAAAAAAATAAACATAAAAAATATAACGGGTCAACCTACTTTGTATATATATATATATATATATATATATATATATATATATATATATATATATATATATATATATATATATATATATATATATATATATATATATAAAGATCAAAATTTTCTTGTATTTAACGGCATTTCAATGATTTTCTTGACGGAGGACCAAAGATGGTCATGCCACAATAATACTAGGACCAAATGAGGATGTTCTGATAAAAGAAGGACTAAAAGTGGACTGTCACCTATAAATCTAGGACCAAAAATAGAATTAACTCAATAAATAAATACGTAATAAAAATTAAAACTGTTTTTTTTCTCGTGATTTATACACTCACAAATGCTCTATTGGGTGGGGGTGTGGTGGGTCATTGGATTCCACTTTTTTGGGAGAAAAAAAATACTACATTCCTACAAATCCAACCAACTTTTTAAAGTGGGCCCAATTTCACATCACTTTAAAAAATTAATATCTTTGTTTCTCAATAAATATTATTTTCTGTTCAACATTATTAATTTATATCAATATATAAATTACATTAAATACTAAAAATAATAAAAATGAAAATCTAAACACATACAGAGTAATTTTTTAAATAAATTACTTTTAAATATTAAAAATAGTTGTACGGAATAATTCGTGTGATACTACAAATTTTTCTTTTATCTAAAATAATTCAGTGTTATTAATTTGAATTACGACTTAAATTGTAAAACTAAATGGAACCTTACAAATTCGAACTAATTGAAATCACTACACAAAAAAACAAAACAAAAAACATAGTAAAAATTACAAAAGATATATATAAAAAAAATATCAGGTCGGCAGCTTTTGCTGCAAAAGGTAGCAAAAGCCGCCAACAGCAAGCTTGCTGCAGTTGCAAATCTAGCTAGGCAGTGGAGAAAAGCACGGAAGATATATGGGTGGGGGTGATATGGGCAACAAAAATGAAAGAAAAAAAAAAGTAGTAAATTAAAAAAAAACATTTTGATTAGTAGTGTATCTATCTCTTACCAATCTGGTGGTCTGAGATGAGGAGAGAGTCATGGATGACGATGACAGTCTTGGACGGGACGATGACAGAAACCTCTTTAACTCCGTCGAGAGGCTTCAGAATCTTGTCTATGATGGGAACCTCGGACGTGCAACAAATCCCCAGAACATCTAAGTAGGTCTTGGTCAGATGTTTTGTTGTGGTAGTGTTTTTGGTGCTGTCAGTTGCAGTCATTTTTTCTGGCTGGCTTATAATACTATGCACAATTAGTGAGAGGGGGAAAGAGAAGAGGTGTGTTGTTAGCTGGCTTTGTTAAGGTAGTTACGAGGTTCGAAGAGTGAGGAGATGAATGATAAGTAGTAGAAGAAGAATTTTTTGTTGATAGATGCATGGATTGGATCCTAAGGTTGGGACCTGATTTTAAACGCATATATATAAAGGAGAAAACTTAATGTGTATGACAACAACGTTTTCAGTTTTGTGTGTACATACAAAATTTGTGAGCAATCCCACATTTAGTCCACAATTTAATAGTGCTACATTTGTTTTTTTTCCATAATTGCATTATTAGAGCATCACCAACGGCTATGGACTTTGTTAGGTTTTTTTCATGCCCCATAGGAAGGAAATAAGGAGAGAAAAAGGACGTGAAAAAAAAAGAAGAAGAAAAAAAAGTGAATAAAAAAATAATAATAAAAGCAGTATTAACGCGCTCAGAAGACGCATGCAGTACGTGTATGCACCCGTTAGACGTGCCGAAACACCTACCAGGTCAGATTTGCCTTTGTTTTCTAACTTCATAAATATGGACCCCACAAAAAATCAAGCTTAGTTCAATTTTTTTTCTCTCTCTCTCCTCTCTTCTCTCCCCCTCCAAATCATCATGATCTCTCGTCCATCAAAAAATAATAAAAAAAAAACTCCTTAAAAACCCCTATTGTACATGCTTTTATATTTAGTCCTCAATCATCTACGCTCATATATAAATGATTTAATAAAGGAAAAATGGGTCATATATATAGACCGTAAATTTTATGCGAGTCAACCAGACTTCTAAATTTTTAAAAGTTAGAGTTAATACCCAAAATTGTCCTCGACTATAGTGGTTTTTCTCAATTTCGTCCTAAACGACTTTGGTGACCTAATATCGTCCCAGACTTTTGTGTTTCGCTCAATTTAGTCCTCCATTTGTTATTCCGTCAAATTGGTGTTAAATTAAGGGACAATTTAGTAATGTCAATATTGATCTCTCTTTCCTTTCAACTTGTGAAGTGCGAAATTCCTCTTTCTTGTACGAATTACACCCAGAATTACTCCCGGACCTACAAATCAAATTTTATATTCGGAGTTTTAGGAGTAATTCGTAAAAAAAAGGGGGATTTCGCAGTTCACATGTCTATGAGTAAAGAGATGTCAATATTAAAATTACTGAATTGTCTATTTATTTAACACCAAATTGACAGAATAACAAATGAGGGACTAAATTGAGCAAAAACACAAAAGTCTGGGACTAAATTGAGCGAAACACAAAAGTCTGGGACGATATTAAGTCACCAAAGTCGTTTAGGACGAAATTAAGAAAAACCACTATAGTCGAGGACGATTTTGGGTATTAACTCTTAAAAGTTACAACTAAACCTATTAACTCATAATTATTTTATATAAAAATAAATAAATAAATAAAAATCATGGGCTTAACCCAGGATCGGCCCACAAGAGGCTCAAGGTCGACCCAAGTAATTTCAGGGCCGGTCCTAGTTCGTACTAGCCTAGGCTCAAGGGCAAATTATTGTGTGGACCATGATCCACACAGTGTTATGTGCACCATAACAAAAAATACATTTTTAATATACTAAATGTACATTATTTTTGTACTGAATGTACATTATATAATATAATGTACACTCAGTACACAAATAATGTACATTTTTTAATATACTAAAAATACATTATTTTTATACTGAATGTACATTATTTTATAGTATACAAAATATGGTCCACACAACTTCGTTGAACCATGGTCCACACAATAATGATTGAGGCTCAATACCGCCCCAAGCCTAGACTTTCCTCTAATAGAACGCAAAATATCTTATGAGACATCTCACGAATCTTAATCCGTGAGGTAGATCATATTTTTTTCATAAGTGTTACACTTTTGCTCATAAGTATGACTGAGTACAATTTTTTCATAAGTAGCTCTTCAACTCCTAATATTACATTTTAATTTAAAATTATTACATTTTTCATCAAAAGTATCACTTTTTTTTATATATAAATAACAATTAATCAATTACTATTACATTTTTTCTTATTAGTAATTGTTCAACATTTAAATATTATATTTTGATTTAAAACTATTACATTTTTTTCACAAAAGTAATATATTTTTCTTTATAAGTAACAAATAATTTAATTATAATTAGTATTACATTTTTCAACATAAGTATTACATGTATTTTCATCTTGACTTGACATTTCTCACAGATAAGGATCTGTGAGACGTTCTCACGGAAACTCACAAATAGTAGTGACATTAAATTTAAATTAATTTAGAAACGACTCTTGTTATTTATTATTTTTTTTTTAAATTAATCAACATTTTTTTAGTTATTACTTATTATGATGAAATAACTTTTTCATTTCTCCTTTCGCCATTTGACATACACTCAATTAAAACACCCTTTAGTCTGTCGACTTTACTTTTTTCCTTTTTTTTTTTAATATATCTTTCTTTTCATTTTGACTATCAAGAAAAATAAAGTTTATTACTCTTTTCTGCCCATCCACCCTTTAACATGCGTGATAAGAATGGAAATAATAACTTGTTTTCAAAAAATGAAAATAATAACTTAATGTTGGAATTTTTAGTTAAAATGATTTTGAGTGTTATTTTGTGGTACAAATATATGTGGGGTTCACTTTCGATTTGAATCGGGTCAAAGTGAATCCGGATTCTTTGCTGTAGGACGAAGAGATTGATATATTGTACGTTCAAAATATGTAATAAGTGAATGAGAAATTGATTCTCAAAGTAAACCTATGAGAGAAGTCAAAAATTCATTAATGCTAATGTGTTAGCACACGAATGGTAATGAAAGGTGGCAGCATTAGCTTCTAACTAAATTTTGAAAGCTTTAGTGCAAATTTGAAGCACTTACGTGAAGCTTTGGAAATGTCGAAGCACCGAATGGTGCTAATTTAGAAGCACAAAATGGTGCTTCTAATTTGAAAGCACCGAATGGTGGTTAATTTCAGTAGCACCGAATGGTGCTTTAACCATTTGGTCAATTTCGAATCCTTAACCTTTCGAATGTAAGGACTTCCCGACTACTCAGGTGTTTTTGAAACAGGTCATTATAGTCGGTATGAATTACTTTTCTATTAATTTCGTAACCGTTGATATTATTTTGATAATAAGTATGACCGCTTCAAATGTTATAATCATATTATTAAATTGGATTATGTGCCATTTATTATGCTACTAGTTTTTTTACGCGCTTTGCGCGAATAGGATAATGCCCAATAATTATTTTTAAATAAGTATTTCAAAGTATATCTATGCAATATTATATAGGAAATGTTCATGCATAGGTAAATACATGTTGAATTTGTTTATTTAAATCAGTAATTTAAAGTATATAAATGCAAGATAATATATGAGAGATTGATATAATTATAATTGTCACTAAAATAAATGTTTGCAACTTCGTAATAACGTTAGTCTAAATATTTAGTCTTAAAGTGATAGTTTAAATAAATTATACTTTTGGTTTAAATTTCTCTAATTCTTCTTAATTCTCCTTTGGGTAGCATTATTATTGTTTTCATGTTCAGTACATGTCCTCTTTGTTTTTTATTTTATTTTATTAGTTGTGTGTCATGTGCAATTAGGTTAGTGGTAGCAGCATGGAGGGATTCATCATGCAATGAGATTAGGGTGTAGGAAGTTTTAGATTTTCCTTGCGGTGTATATGACTGAGATTTTAGTTGTAATATGAACTCTTCAGCGTACAAATACCTATTGATATTTAATAGTGGTAGTCTTTTCCCTACATGTTTCATGTGTTGTGAGATGTGTGTCGTAGGTTATCATGTGAAAGTATTGAACAATATTAATATTTATTATATTTGTATAAAATACTTGGTAAATAAATAAATAAATAAATAAATAATATATATATATATATATATATATATATATATATATATATATATATATATATATATATATATATATATATATATAACTTTGATATTTAATTACAAGATAATGTAAAAAAGAAGACAATGAGTACCCGGGTTGGACTTCCATTTGGAAGATTATGAGTTCGAGCCTCAGTGGAGGCGTTATTGGTTCTTTGTGTTTCAGTAGGTTGAGAAAGTATATGAACAGATACTACAATGTAATAGAGCCAGTAACTTTCAAAAAAAAAAAAAGAAAAAAAAGAAGACAATGAACAATGTAGTGAATATAATAAATTAATAAGTTTGAAGGTAAGGAATCTTTAAATTGTAGAAAATAAAGATAATATAACTAATGAAATTATATTTCTTTTAAGTTTTTTTTTTATAATGAATATTTTTTTTTAAATAAAGCATTATAGACATCTAATTCTAAATTAATTAAATGTATATGTATTATTTTTTGTTGTAGCTACTAATTTATTTAATAAATAAGAGTAATAAAGTGTCGTACATACATTTTTTCAACAATAATGAAATCAATGATTTTTTTTTTTTAATTTTCATTCCTTGTTGAGACAAATTGTTTTGAGAGTTTGTCCATGACAATTGCTACAATTGCTGTCAATAGAGGATGATAATAAATAATTCAAAATATATGGTTACAATATATATTAATATAATGATATAGTAAAAATTAACTTACAAATTTCTTTAGAAGTTTTAATGCATTGATAAAATTTTGATGTGTAAACTTGTTCAATTGGAGCTAGTAGGATGTTAACATTGTCAATTATTTGAAAAATGATCCTATCGTTTTAGAGTCCATGTGTAATTGTATTTATGATCAACAACTTTGTAGTTAGGCCGCGCAGGTCTGACAATGATGTAAGAATAATTTTGTCTGATAAAAAAATAATAGTATAATATTTGTAAAGTAATGTACAATTGTACCATTATAAAAAAAATACAAAAAATATTAATACTATAATGACCTAAATCATTCCAATAATGCAAAAGCATAATTGAAATATTAAGTTTTTTTCTAAATAATCATAAGAAGATTAATTAAACAAAAAAAAAAATTTAACCTAAATTTCTTTTTTTTTTAATAAAAAATTCAAGAAAATCAAATGATTTTAAAGTAGTTCTTGGTTTATAATCTTTGATGCTCAACTTTGAATGCTATGTATTTAGTCGAGCTAATTATTTGACCAAAGTTTATGTTAAATTTTATATTATAT